ATGAGGTGGTGGGGGGGGGGGGGGGGGGGGGGGGGGGGGGGAGGGGACGACAGCTACGGTAGCGATATGCTGATTAACGCCGCGACAGTCGAAGCTGTACGCGCAATGGTAATAAAGAGCGATCGTTAATCAAATTATTTTTAAAATATTGCGCTACACTTGTCAGTGCTCGCTTTGTCCAAAACAACTCGCGCTACTACCGCAAATGGACGCCAGTATAACTTTAATATCTCGAGTGCGCGTGTCGCTATTTAGCTCGTAAATAGCAGCGGAGCAACGCTTTTGTCATTCATCTCGTGCTAATAATCACGGGCTTTCGCGCACCAATTACCAATTGCATTAACCACTACTCGTGCTTGACTCTCCTCAATCTCAACGATGACCGCTTGAGTCCTTTATTCTTATAATAACAATCGGCGATAAAAGCAGCGACTTTACCCAACTTGCTCGAGCCAAGCCACCCTCCCAAGTCATACGGCACACGGCACACGGCACACGGCAACGCAATTGCCGACCCTTCGACAGCCCAAGCGCCCGTCGTCGCGCAACCAGCAATACATAACGCATATAAGCACAATGAGCCGTGGGTCGTCCCGTGTCCACCAGGGCACACGAGATTGCTGGCCGTCGTTGGCGACTCCTTCCGCGTAGAAAGTAGTCGTTGTAGCCTCGTTCGGCGCGCGCCTCTTTTTCGAACGCGTCCGTGTCTGTGTCTGTGTGCGTGCGCGCGCGCGCGACTTTACTAGCGCTCGTAAAACTTTTACCATCATCGGCCCGACGGTGCATTATGCGCACGCGGTTATGCCATATTAAGCTATTTCGCCGCTTCAATCCACGCGTAACACTTAATTGGCCCGGTGCCCTCCTCGCCGATCGCCGGTCCTCGCCCCGGGACACCGATCGCCCATTTCTTCATTCGTCCCTTCGCCGTAGAGGCTTAATGGCCCTGTTGACGCAGGCCCCGCGCAGGCCCCGAGTTCATATCTACCGAGGCACGTAGGGGCCTTGGAGTCGGTCGGATTCGGAATAAATTGAGTGGCGCGCGAAAATCAATGCCTCCCGGTAATGCCGAGCATTATGAATGAATCGCGTTAAGCGAGGACAATATGAATGCTCGACGAGGACACGCGTACGTTCGCGAGGCCTCGCAAGTTCAGTAATGCGATCGTACGCGTCCCAGACATGTTTTTCCCGATGACATCATCGGCATTTCATTCGTTGCTCAGACTCGCATGCGTCTGTAATGATCAACAGCCGACAGATAGATGGATGGATGGATAAATAGATAGATGGATAGATAGATGGATGGATAGATGGATAGATAGATGGATAGATAGATGGATAGATGGATAGATAGAT